CCCGGCTAGTTTTTTGTATTTTTTAGTAGAGACGGGGTTCCACCAGGTTAGCCAGGATGGTCTCGATCTCCTGACCTCGTGATCCGCCCGTCTCGACCTCCCAAAGTGCTGGGATTACAGGCTTGAGCCACCGCGCCCGGCCAGACTGTTTCTAATTGGATGATATTTCTGGTTAATTCTATAGTTGGCAGGAAACAGGCACAGGAAACATGGTCAGTTTCTGATTCTGGCGTTGAGTAGACCCTTTCTCCTTTTCCTCTCTCTCAGTGGGCGACAGATGTGAAAGAAACGAGTTCCAGTGCGAAGACGGGAAATGCATCTCCTACAAGTGGGTCTGCGATGGCACCGCTGAGTGCCAGGATGGCTCTGATGAGTCCCAAGAGACGTGCTGTGAGTCCCCTTTGGGCATGATGCACTTTTTTTTTTTTTTTTTTTTTTTAAATAGAGACAGGGTTTTGCCATGTTGGCCATGCTGGTCTTGAATTTCTGGTCTCAAGTGATCCTCTGGCCTCGGCCTCCCAAAGTGCTGGGATTACAGGCACCACGCCTGGCCTGTGACACAATTCTTAACCCCTTTTTGATGATGGCGGCTGGAAGAGTGGGCAGGGGATTTTGATGTATCCAATCATTAATTAGGAGGTGGGGAGAGAATGAATTATTGGAGCTTTCCTTAAAGCCATTAAATGGCTTTTTTTCCATTGATGTGAATTTCACATAACATGAAATTAACCAGCTCAGTGGCATTAATACATTTGCAATGCTGTGCTGTGTGGCCACCACCTCTATCTCAGTCCAAAACTTTGCATAACCTAATGTCTTTTTTTTTTTTTTTTTTAAGAGATGGAGTCTAATTCTGTTGCCCAGCCTGGAGTCCAGTGGCACAGTCATACCTCACTGCAGCCTTGACCTCTTGGGCTCAAGCGAGTCTCTTGCCTCGACCTCCCAAAGTATTGGGATTACAGGTGTGAGCCACTGCACTCAGCCTAATGTCCAATTTTTAACAAGCTCCGTTAAATGCCCTCTGTTTTGACCCATAAAGGGGTAGGCTTGGCCGGGCACAATGACTTGTGTCTGTAGTCCCAGCTACTTGGGAGGCTGAGGCAGAAAGGCAAAAAGATTCCTTTATAAATCCCAGGAGTTTGAGGGCCACCTGGGTGACATTAGTAGACCCCATCTCTAAAAAATAAATAATAAATAAATATTTGGTTTTTTTTTTTTTTTTTTGAGACGGAGTCTTAGTCTTGCTCTGTTGCCCAGGCTGGAGTGCAGTGGTGCGATCTTGGCTCACTGCAAGCTCTGCCTCCTGAGTTCACGCCATTCTCCTGCCTCAGCCTCCCAAGTAGCTGGGACTACAGGCGCCCGCCACCTCGCCCGGCTAGTTTTTTGTATTTTTTAGTAGAGAAGGGGTTTCACCGTGTTAGCCAGGATGGTCTCGATTTCCTGACCTCGTGATCCGCCCGTCTCGGCTTCCCAAAGTGCTGGGATTACAGGCTTGAGCCACTGCGCCCGGCCTCTGGTTGTCTCTTCTTGAGAAAATCAACACACTCTATCCTGTTTTCCAGCTGTGGCCACCTGTCGCCCTGACGAATTCCAGTGCTCTGATGGAACTTGCATCCATGGCAGCCGGCAGTGTGACCGGGAATATGACTGCAAGGACATGAGCGATGAAGTTGGCTGCATTAACGGTGAGCGCTGGCCATCTGCTTTCCCATCCCCCATTCTCCATGCCTTACTGCTTGCAAATGATTTGTGAAGCCAGAGGGCACTTCCCTGGTCAACTCTGCACCAGCTGTGTGTCTGTGGGCAAGTGACCTGAGTTCCCAGAGCCTCACTTCCTTTTTTTTTAGGTGGAGCCTCGCTCTGTCACCCAGGCTGGAGTAGTGTGGCACAATCACAGCTCACGGCAGCCTCTGCCTCTGGGGTTCCAGTGATTCTCCTGCCTCAGCCTCCCGAGTAGCTGAGATTCAAAGCATATGCCACCATGCCAGGCTAATTTTTTGTATTTTTATTAGAGACAGGATTACACCATGTTGACCAGGCTGGTCTTGAACCCCTGACCTCAGGTGATCTACCCGCCTTGGCCTCCCAAAGTGCTAGGATTACAGGCGTGAGCCACTGTGCTCAGCCTCAGTGGGTCTTTGCTTTGAGTGACAGGTCAATCCTGTCTCTTCTATAGTGTCTGTCACCTGCAAATCCGGGGACTTCAGCTGCGGGGGCCGTGTCAACCGCTGCATTCCTCAGTTCTGGAGGTGTGATGGCGAAGTGGACTGTGAGAACGGATCAGATGAGCAAGACTGTCGTAAGTGTGGCCCTGCCTTTACTATTGAGCCCATCTGGGTCCTGGGGAGTGGTCTGACTGTCTCTACAGGGTCCTGCTTAAGCTGCAAGGCAGCTACCCTGAACTGGGCTCCATCTCTTGGGGGCTCATACCAAGCCTCTTCTGCCCCTCAAATCCCTCCCTGACCAGGAGGCATTACAGACCAGGGATAGTGCCACCTCTTCGGTTTGTCACGCACAGTCAGGGACACCATCCCTGCCGAGGGCTGGCCACCTGGCACACACGCTGGCAAGCCACTGTGATCCCCAGTGGCCGTGATCCCCGTGATCCCATGATCCCCGCCCCGTGAGGCTGAACACATAGTGACACTTGCTAGCCACGCCTCAATGACCCAGGTAACGTGAAGGGGAAAAAGCTAGAAAGTTCTGCCAAGGAGGAAGGCCAAGAATCCCAAAGGGAAATGGGCTTTGGAGCTGGGCATCTTCTTGGCTGTCTTAATACAAGTGGCATATCCCAAATCCAAAAACCCGAAATTCAAAGTCTTGAGCACCCAAAATTCTGAAACGTCTTGAGCACTGACATTTAGAAGAAAATGCTTATTGGAGCATTTTGGATTTCGGATTTTTACCATTAAATGTGGAGTTCTAATTAGGAAAAAGCCAGGCTGGTCAAACCAAGGGAAAGCAATAAAAGAAGGCAGATAGAGTCGAGTGCAGTGGCTCACGCCTGTAATCCCAACCCTTTGAGAGGCTGAGGTGGGTGAATCACTTGAGGTCAGGAGTTCAAGACCATCTTGGCCAACATGGTGAAACCCCGTCTCTACTAAAAATACAAAAATTAGCCAGGCATGGTGGTGTGTGCCTGTAATCCCAGCTACTCGGGAGGCTGAGACAGGAGAATCACTTGAACCTGGGAGGCAGAGGTTGCAGTAAGCCAAGATCACACCATTGCACTCCAGCCTGGGGGACAAGAGTGAAAATCTATATCAAAAAAAAAAAAAAGAAGGCTGGGCATGGTGGCTCATGCCTGTAATCCCAGCACTTTGGGAGGCCGAGGTGGGTGGATCAGGAGGTCAGGAGATCAAGACCATCCTGGCTAACACGGTGAAAC